GGTTTGGTGAATTGGCTTAAAACATTGCTTATTTCTTTCCAACACATAAATCTCAACAAACATTATTAAGAATGATGTTTTGTAGTGAAAGAAAAGTGGTTGGCTTTGCCTTTGCCTCCAAGTTGTGTTCTTCCTTCTTCACCCCTCATTAAACATATTATTAAACAATATGTATGTAAGTATATAATTATTTTGCCAAATTTTAAGGGATAGAAAGGTAATTTGCAATTGTGTCCTTTTATTATTATTATTTACTTTTTCAATCACTATATTTTCCGTCCTTTCAATTTACATCACTCAACTCATCCGAGCTTGTCTTAATCTTATATGATCCAATTCGTCTAAGCTTATCAAGTTTTGGGTTTACATCGTTAGGTCTTTTGAGTTTAATTCTATATTTGAGTTCACATCATCCCGTTCAAAGCTCATCTCAATCATTGGTATCACATCATCGAGCTTTTTTGAGTTTATCCTAATTGTAAACATATAAAGATAAAACGGTGCGACCTCGTAATGTTCATCTCCATATAATAAACTTGTAACCTCAATCATTGGGGATTGACTCCAACTTATTTAATTAATTCCGTTTAGGATATGTCCTAATAGAATCATTTTGTATACATGTAGCAAATGAATTTGCAATTGCTGGTGCACGACCCTTGTAGAATTGCATCATATACACGTAAGGAGTGACCTTGTAGTGTTTAAAGTACAACGCTAGTAGAATCACGTCATATACATGCATAGAGTGACCTTACAACTGTTTTGTCTTCTCGGTTTTCACTTTCGACGAACAATTTCATCTTCCAATAGCACAAATCTTCAATCAACACAATATTTATCGTGAGGTAATCAACAACCAATCGCCTTAAATTCTTAGGTATCTCATCATAATAAAAACCCTAAAAATCTTACGTTATCTCTGATGAGTTCCAATCGACAATGATAAAAGTTCTCCTTGTCGAATCTCCAAGGGTCAAAGTCCCAAAGTAATTTAAGCCAAATTGCCTCAAACTTCTCACAAATCAAGAACACAAAAAGCTTCAACGATGATTTATTAAGCTCATACGTATTGACAACTAAAAATCGAACCAAAACGTTAATAATCCCCGACCAAATATGGTTTAAAAACAAGTCCAAAACTCAATCACTAAGCTATTTATCTCTTCCATTTTATTTTCTTTTAAATTTCAAATAAGTGTGATTATATTTTAATACTCACAAAAATAGAGTTAACAGTTCATATTCCAACATTTTCTTAACTTTCCAATTTCAAGGATACCTTCCAACAATATAAGCTTCAAATATGTTTTGATATATCAAATCAAAGATTTGAAATCAAATTGAATCAATGTGTTCATGTAAGTTTGTACCATACATTTCATGATACCCACAAAAGCCCTAATATGATACCCACAACCTTCTTCATTACTTAAAATGTTTTAACCAAGATATTGTACCTTTAAAAGGACATTAGCAAATGGTAAATAGGGTTTTGGCCCACAAGGCATTATTATCAAGGCATTATTATTTAAGGGCAAACAAAGGTGAGCTTAAGATAGGTACTATGGTACCCCAAAACCTATACCCATTATTATTATTCCATTAAATTCCATCTAAGTTGTGCAAATCCTTTGTAATTAGAGGAGAAGATATATCATGTGCCAAGCATGTGACTTGGGGACAATTTTGTCTTTTAAAATTTTTATTAAAATTTTTCCTATTTGGAATTTTCATTTACCCTTTTTTTTTTTCTTTTTAAATAATTAGGTTGAGAGATTCAAATTCAAATTTGAATCTTTAAACCTACTAGTTTTTGTCAATCTATATATCTAGATGGGTCACTATTATACTTTATAGCTAATTAAAATTAAATCAATCAACAATTATTACATAAAACGAAGAAAAAAAAACCCTAAATTTCATTATTAAAGTTAATAGTGACTCAGGTTGAGAATTTGGAATCTGGATTGGGCACTAGTTGACTCTAGCATTCTCTTACATCTCTGTGACATAGTTACGATGCTTACTTGTCGCTTTCTAAAAGTGAAGATTATTCCCACCGATTAACATGAATCATTCCAACATGTTTTGTCTTTACTTATATGCATCTTAAGAAAGTTGTAATCAATATAGAATTGTTCCAAGTAAACCACGTTTAATTATGAAGCTTTTATGGATGAACCCGTTGAAAATTTTGGAAAAAAACGAAGTTTGAAATTCTCTAAAAAGACTTTCTTAGTATGAATGGAAGAAAATTGGAGGTTGAATTTAAATATAGGTGAATGAAGTAAGGGTTGTGGAGATAGAGAGAGAGAGAGAGATTGAAAAGATTGGTTTTGGGGACAAATCCATGGTGGAGCTGTCTATTTTGAAGGGTTTGATTTCATGGGTATAAATTTCAAATAATTTAGTTTTAGTGTATCATAGCTATGACCAAATTAATGAAGAAAACAGCTTAATTAGCTTCTTTCATGATTACAACAACAACTTAAATCAATTTAATCTTAATGAATTGATAGATTTGGCATCATTTTGTTCCACTAAATTTTTTCTTCCACATTTTTTTGATAACACAATTCCTTCGCTCCTTGCCCATTAATAATTGTGAAGTCTAATCATTTATTTGAACTTGTTATTACTATTCAAGAACAAGCTCACTAATATGTCATTAGTCCAAATGTGACAAAAAAAAAAAAAAAAAAAAAAAAAAAAAGATTTGATGATGGCTAACATTTAATCCTCTGCCTTAAGATAAGATAAGATAAGACGGAGAATATTCTTAATAATTGTACTACCATGTAATACCTTTATTATTATGACAACTTGACCTGATTTTTCTTTGACGGGTTTAGTTAAGAGTGTTTCAACGACCAAATAATTCAAACAATCAAATAATTTAACTCACAATTTGGAAGTCAAAAAATTTATTCCGGTTCTTAGGTTCGAAATTTTTTTATCTATCCAACTTGAAAAATTTTAGATTGATCCAAAAATTTTCTCCGTCTTCCCTACCAAGAAAATAACACGAACTTAATTATTTCTTGGGTTTCCTTTCTGGAAAGAAATATTATATCAAAATTCTCTAAAATGGTTCCACATTTATCCTTTATAACAAATGCATCAAATTCCCAAAAAAAAAAAAAAAAAAAAATTGTTAAATTGAGTTCTCATCCTTCCATAAACAATAGTGTTTGTCAACATTTTGATTTCAAAGTTCTAGCTATTTCTTAATATTTTCTTTTATAAAAAAATAATAGATTGAATATAGGAGAGAGGATCTTCAAATCTTGATTATTTAATGTTTACTTTAGAAAATGCAAATATGACATTAAAAAAGTAAGAAGAACAGATTAAGAATTAAAAATATTGAATAATTTAACATGTTGGATGTGACATTGGATGATAAACAAAGGTAGGAAGTCTTAATATTGATATAAATTCTTGTTTTGAAGGTTTCAAACTCCAAACTTTACCTAAACATCAAAAAGAGATTCACCAAAAAGAACAAATCTTTGAAGAAAAAGATAAGAAGATAAGCTAACTCTTGAGAACTACTCTTTACTGATAAGATTAGATGCCATAAAGATCTTAAAAGAGAACATGAAACAGTCACAAAAGTCCCAACTTTTTTTTGGTTTTGGTTTGAATGTTTGATCCAAACCCAAAATGGTGACAAAAGATAGAATGGAGCCAATCCCATTCCATTACACATCCCCACCGCCCACTTTCAACCTAATCCACCTCCCCAATTAATCAATACATATCATAAATAAATGCCTTGTCAATGAAGCATAATACACTGTCTTCAATCTAAGGATAATGATAAGACATATATATATATATATATATATATACACACGAACACTCACACGAACACACCTGTATGGAGAGGAAATTTGAAGCATTTTTTGGGGGTAGGGACCATCTGAGTGGCTGATGTATTCATTGAATTCTGAATTTGCTGTCTTTTTTTTTTTTTTTTTTTTTT